TGCTTCAGGCGTGAGTTTAAGCCAGCAGATCCGGGACTCTAACCACAGTCAACTATATGGGAGTCCATTACACCAACTGCTGGTCCAGAGGTGTATTTAATTTGTATGAAATATACAGAGCAATAAAATATTTGCAATCCCTAAATAGTTTCTAGAATATATAAAGAATTCTGAAAACTCCATAGTAGAAAGATGAACAAGTCAATTTAGAAAATGGCAAAAGACGGGAAGAGAACATAAAGGTGGCAGATAAACCATGAAAAGATGTTTGTGGCTAATGCAATTGGGAATATAAATTAAACACACCTATCAGAATGGCTACAGTAAAAAATAATGATGAGAACAAATGCTGATAAGAAAAGAAAAACTGGATTGCTCGTATACTGTTGGCGGGAATGTAAAATGGAGCAGCTACTTTGGAAAACAGTGACTGTTTATTTTTTCTTTTCTTATTTTTTCCTCCTCTGTTTTAAAAATTGTTTATTTATTTATTTTTTGCTAGAGGATGTGTGTGCTAACTAGAGAAACGGAGAAAAGGGAGAGGAGAAAGCACCATGGGGAATGGTCATGGTCATGCCCTAACCTTTCACTCCTTTCAGGATTTTTGGGCCTGCACACGCATGTGCCTGGCATGTATTTCAAGCTCTTGGATCTGGGACTTGAACCATGCCATTTAGTTCAAACTTTAATTCCATCTTCCATGATTTTCTTGAAGTCCCCTTGTATATGACATGAAATATCACTCAGTGGTAAAAAGGAGCAAACTATTGATACATGCAATGACCCGAATAAATCTCAAGAGAACTATAGTGAGGAAAAATACCCAATCCTAAAAGTTCTCTGCTGTATGTTTCCTTTCATATAACATTCTTCAAATAACAATACTATAGAAATGCTGAAATGCTGAGCAGATTGGTGGTTGTCCGGAGTTAAGAAGGAGATGTGGTGGGCGGTTTGGAAAGGATTGGGTGCAGTTATGAAAGGCCAACATGAGGGACCCTCATGGTGATGGAATGTTCTGTTTCTTGGCTATATCCACGTCAGTATCCTGGTTGTGATTTTTTTTTCTTTTTTAATTCCAGAACACATGTGTACTTGCCAGAGAAAGAGAGAGGAAGAAAGAGAGAGAGAGAGAGAGAGAGAGAGAGAGAGAGAACCCCTAACACTGCAATCCCTTGCCTATCCTGTTGGGATTTTGGGTATGCATGCACACCAAGCCACATTTTTGCACCATCAGGCCAGGTCAACCATGTGGGACCTGGTTCCCTCATCCACTAGGCTATAGGACCAGTCCCTGCTTGGGATCTTGTACTATAGTTTTGCAAGATATTGGAATTGGAGAAACTGTGCAAAGAACACGTGGAATCTCTCTGCTATTTCTTATACCTTCATATGAATCTACAATTATTTCCAACAAGTTTAATTAAAAAAAGAAAGGGACATTTATAGAACAATTGGGAAATTATGAACATTAATTGAAATTCTTAGTGTGATGGTAGTGTTATTTTTGTTTTGATTAGCCTCCATTCTTAACAGGTCAATTCTGAAATATTTAAAAATGAAATAATACTTCTGAGATTTGCTTCAGAGTAATACAGAGTGGAGGAGAAGCAGGTTGACCAGAAGAATGAATAGCCATGAGTAGAGCTGGGTGATGGGAATGTGAGTTTCTGAGCCCTAGACATCACACCTGGTGGGCATACACGGGGCAGTGCAATGTGGTAATTAGGCCACTGGTTTGAGAGACAGTAAGACTAACCTGATATGAATCTTGGCTCTGCTACTAACCAGTTCTGTGACCTTAGGCACATTATATAACATCCCTGACTTTCAGTGTCCTCATCTCTAAAATGGGGCTAATATCTTGCAGTGTAACTGCATAGATTGATGAGATTATCAGGGAAGAGTATAGGGTAAGAAAAAGAAAGTTCTTGGGGTAACTTCCCCCCAGGAAAGAGAAAGGAAGAGAAGCCAGTGCAGAAGACAGAAGAGGTGGAGGTGGGACAGAAGACCCAAGGTTAGGTTGGGAAGTATCTTAGAATCCAGAAAAAGATTATAGAGAGCTGACAACTGAGAAGAAACCACTAGAAGGTGTTCAGAAGGTCACTGGTGCTGATAATAGCTTTGATTCAATGGTGAGGTGGGACCAAATTCAGTGCTGAAAAATGAACAGAGAAAGAGAAAGTGGGTGTCCACCATTCTCAGAATCTTTTTTTTTGGAGAGGTTTTCACTATAGGGCGCATGCGCTCGCCAGACAGACAGAGATATAGAGACAGAAAGCGAGAAATCACCCCCCAGGGGGGATGGTCACGCTGCAATCCCTTCTCCTCCATTCTCCTCTCGGGATCTTGGGCACATACGCACACACGCCCGGTGTGAGTTTTAAGCCACCGGGTCCGGGACGCGAACCACGGTCGATTACGTGGGAGTCCAGCGACATGGCCATTATGTTAACTGCTGGTCCCCATTCTCAGAATCTTGATGGGATGCTGTGGAGAGATGCAGCTGTAGCTCATGAGGGAAGGAACTTCTGGAAAGGGTAATGAGCAGACAGGAACAAAAGAGAGAGATTGAAAACAAAAGAGAAAAGGTTGTGAATAACGCTACCGTGTATATGGATGTGCAAATAACCCCTTCAGACCCCGATTTCAATTCTTTTGGATATATACTCAGAAGTGTGATTGCTAAAGCATATGTTGTTTCTATTTTTATTTATTTATTTATTTTTAGGTTTTTGCCATAGTTCATGTGTGCTTGCCAGAGACAGCGAGAGATTAGTGAGAGGAATAGTGAGAAATCACCCTCGGGGGGGGGGGGTGACCATGCCACAATTCCTTTTCTTCCTGGAATGCTGGGCGCACGCACACACACACACACACACACACACACACACACACACGTGCCTGGTGTGTTTTTCGAGCTACTCGGTCCAGGAGTTGAACTGCCATCAGCCATGTGGGAGCCCAGTGTCTTAACTACCATATCCCATACTGGCCCCTTATTTTTAATATTTGAAGAATCTTTGTACTGTTTTCCACAGAGGCTGCACTATTTTACATCTCACCAACAGAACACAAAGATTCCAATTTCCCCATACACTCGCCAACACCTATCATTTGTTTTGTTTTGCTTTTTGGTAATAACTACCCTAACAAGTTTGAAATGATATCGCATTTACGTTTTGACAGACACGTAAATAAAAAAATGTTATATATACATACAATAAAATATTACTCAGCCTTAAGAAAGAAAGGACATCCTAGCATTTGAGATAATATAGATGAATCTGGAGGACATTATACTAAATGAAATTAATCAGTCACAGTAGGACATATCCTGCCTGATTCTACTTAAAATAGTCTAAAATAGTCAAACTCAGAGAAGTAATGGAAACGACAGGTCTGTGGGGGGAGGGGTTTGGGGAAGTGGGGAATTGTTTTCAATTGTTATTCAGTGATACCGATTAAATAGGTTCTGGAGAGCTGCTGTACAACACCTTGCATGTAGTTAACAATATAGAACTGTGCATTTCAAAAATTGTTAAAAAGGTAGACCTCATGTCAAATGTTATAAACAAACAAAAAAACACAAGGAAACTTTGGGAGGTGATGAATATGTTATTACTTTGATTGTGTAATAGTACCATGGGTGTTTGCATATGTCCAAACTCATCAAACTGGACACATTAAATATATAGAATTCTCATTATATGTCAATAAAGCCTAGTAAAAGAGAATGAGGGAAAGGAGAGACTAACTGTGGCAGTCTTGAGGGTGAGAGACTGTGAGAAGGAAATCCCTTTTTCTGTGAGATTGAGATTGTTGCCAAAGCTGTATTACCTGCCTCTGATATTTCCCTCTGTTTATGGGCTTTTTTTTTTTTTTAAGTTTCTTTCTTTCTTTCTTTCTTTCTTTCTTTCTTTCTTTCTTCTTTCTTTCTTTCTCTTTCTTCCATGAACAAGAGACACATGAAGAAACAGAAAGACAGCAATATGGTCTTAACGCTACAATCCACACAGCTTCTGCCAGCTCTGGATCATGGGCAAGCATGTACCTGGAGTACACAGAGAGGTCTCTGGGCCAACTGGGAAGCTTCTGGGTCAGCCTTGCAGAGTGTTGAATTTTACCATTATGGTCCTATGGGCTTCATTTGATATCCATTTGAACAGATATTTAAAAAGAGAGGAACAGCATAGGAGTATGAGGTATTATGAATGCTGAATTTTTTTTTTTCACATGTGATGATGGAATTGTGATTTTTGTTTCAAAAGGTTAGTCAGTAGTTTTTATAGATTGATCCTAAAATATTTATGAGTAAAAGGCTATGTCTGAGATTTGCTTCAGATTGTGAAGAAAGTGAGAATTAGTATATGTTCTTCTGGGAAGAGGTTCTGAAAGAGGCTTCTTAGGAATCAGCCACATCAAGCCCTCCTCTGTCATTCTTCATTAGACATGCCCCCGCCCCATGCTCATGATGTCCCTTCACACAAAGGCTGGTTCCTGTGCGTGTTACTCCTGAGTGTGACCTGACTGTACCTGACTCACCTACACCCACACTAAACGCACCTGGGTGCAATCTGAAACTTTCTGGGGAGGAGGAGTTTTCCCCATCTATGGACTTGACACTGTGGGCTCTTGCTCAGTCATCATGGATTGAAGGGTTCAGGTAATGAAACTTTTGAGACCAGTTTTGTCCAAGGACTGACTACTTAAGACCTCCCTAACCTTCTCTCTGTCAAAATTAAACTGACCCCAGCAATATTTGCCTTGTGTCCTATAAGCTGTCTGCCCCACTCCAAGCTGAGGACTTGAGAGACTGATAACCTTAGCCTCTGCTTTTTGGATGAGAGATGTTGGAGCCCTGGGGACCAGCAACCACACTAACAGGTGGCCATCCCTGCAAAAGTGACTCAGACAACTCATCATACTAGCAGGGATGGTGTTGAGGTGCTCAGACGGAACAGAAACCAAGAATGCATAGGAAGGTTTAAGCAATGGGGATGAGCTTTATTGAGGTGATCACATTCAAATTTCAGTAGTTCACAATGATTGGCAAATAAACTAGCTTTAAAAAGCTTCCCACTTCCATATGGCTTCATCTACATTCAGAAAGCAGTAAAAATATGTTGTACAATGAACACTTTCCACCTTAAGAGTATCATGACAGTTCATAAATTTGCCAATAGATAATACAAAACAATATTTACAAGACAGACCCTTTGTAAGTTCAAAATTTAGATACTTGTCTTATCAATTCTAAAACTAACATTGTCTGTTTTTCCAGGTAAGGAATATCAGTCATTATAAAAAATATTTTGTATAAATTCAAAGTCAGAACTAAAACATTCAATCCTATAAAAATATCTTTTACTAATAAAAGTATCAATTTCTAGATAAATGTTCTTTATCAACAACAGTGACAGAAATTGCCAGGAAATACCCACTGTGTCAGACAGTCCACATGAAACAAATATGTTAAAGTGACTTCAAGGTTCAGTTGTCAACCAGGCTTCTGTTTTTAGAGCTGAACCTTATATCTGATTACATTGCAGATGAACGGTGCAAGTGTTTTGCAAAAGTTATCTCGAATGTCTACTTATCTTAAGAGTAATTTGTCAAGACAAACTCTTCAATCTAGAGAGGGGATTTTCAGGTGGGCATGCCTTCCGGGGAAGACAAATGTTTTGTTATGACTCATCTATATCCTACCTTGAAATGTTTAACTTGGAAAACCTGTGATGGCATTGTGACCGCTATCTGAAATCAGCTCATTCATTTCATTTTGCTTACTCTCTTTGAGGGCATGGTTGGGGTGATTTCTTTGTGCCTGTGCTCTTTTTGATCTCCTGAAACAAATTCTGAGCAGCAGGTAGCACAACTCAGCCACATTAAGCAGCATGCAGATCACAGATGCAGAAATCATGAAAATGGTAAACACGGTTTTCTCGGTGGGTCTAGAAATAAAACAGTCGACAACATTGGGGCAGGGGTCAATGTCACATTTCAGCACCCAGGGCAGGTGGTACCCATTGTAAAGGAAGTAGAACACGTACATAAAGGAGGCTTCGAAGAGGATTCGGAAGAAGATGCTGCTAGTGTACGTCCACCACAGCGACCCCTCTATCCGAACCTTCTGCTTTTTAATGTCCTCTTCGTCTTTGAACTCATTCCTCTTCTCTCCTCGCCTGAACTTTCGGGCAGTTTCATGCCTGTAGTAGGCCACATGCATGGCCACCAGCAGCGCCGGGGTGGAGACAAAGATGAGCTGCAGAGCCCACAGTCGGATGTGGGACACTGGGAAAAAGTGGTCATAGCATACATTTTTGCATCCTGGTTGCAGAGTATTGCAGACAAAGTCTTCTTGTTCATCGCCCCACACTTCCTGGGCAGCCACCACAAGGATCATGACGCGGAAAATAAAAATGACTGTGATCCACACTTTCCCGATGCTGGTGGAGTGTTTGTTCACTCCCCCGATGAATGTGTGCAGGGTCCCCCAGTCCATCTTGCGGGCTTAATCCTAAACAGGCAAACACGAGTGAAAGGTAATTAGCAGAAAGTACCTTTGAACCAATAACGCAGGACAGTGATGTAACAGACTCCAGCAAATTTCTCTGAAAGGGAGTTGTGATATTTTGTCATTTCTGTCCCCTTGTCTGCTAGTAGGAGACTTTCTGATAAAAACAAAACAAAACAAAACAAAAACAAAACAAACAAATTCTATCCGCTCTAAAGCATTCTAATATCTTTAACTAGAACTAACTGGGGGGAGGGGTGGTGAAGGGAAAGTTAAGATCATTTTGATTCAACTGAGTTCAGATTGTACAAGAGGACTTTGAAATTATGGAGAATGAAATTAAACTATGGATCTATTTTGGTGCAAAAAATTCTGAAATCCATGCACAGTTTTCCCCTAATATACACTTTCCATGAACTTTTTCTTTTTAAAAATTGTCCAGAGGGCACATGTGCTGGCCAGAAAGAAACACAAGGGAGAGGGAAGAGAAAGTCCCCCCGCCCATGGGGAATGGTCATGCCACCATCTCTTCTCCATATTTCCAGCCTGTCGGGATTTTGAATACACATACATGGGCCTGGTGTGTTTTTCAAGATGCTCAAGCTGTGTGAGATCCAGCTCTCTTAACCACCAGGGCACAGGCTGGCCCCTCCATGGACCTTTGGAAGCCCTCTCATATATTAGGTGGCTGCTTACTATCACTCCAGGAACACAGGCAAACAAATCTATTTTCAAGATCCCTTTTAGTCACTATGTAAATACATGTTACAACAGTTTTTGTTTTACCCAAGGGCTCACAGAGATTCCACAGCAGATTGAATTAATTAAATGGCTAATCTGGGAGATAAAAAAATCATTCATTAGAATGACATAATCTGGTTTACTCAGCAAACTAGAAGAGAAAAAAAGAATCCAAATACTTATTAACTTCTTTATGTGATATTTATTATAGCTTGAAGAGTATGGCATCATTTGTTGTAATCATAGGTTTTTAGAAAATCTGCTATTGTCAACCTGACTCTTCAAAACAGAATCACAAGCTTTTATAAAAATTGCTCCCTTGTTCTCCAATGTAGCCAGGATAGAGTTGGCTTTTCCTCATGAGCCGATCCTATTCACTCCAGGGCCCAGGGACAAAGGGCAACTTTTGCTATTGCAGCCCCGAATTTTACTCCTTGTTAAGATGCTGATTTAGCATCCTGAGAGAAAAAGGACTTCTTTACATCTACAGAAACTTTTGCTAGAGCAGAAACACCTGTTTCTTTTATTTTTAGAAAATATTAAAACAATTTTTATTTATTTCTTGAGAGAGAGAGGTAAGAAGAGACTAGGCTCCCTGACAGAGCATCGCCATGCTGTGATCTTCCCTGACGCCTTCCAGCCAGTCAGGATCATGGCACGCCCAGCAAGTTCAGACCAACCTGGGGTCTGAACTTCAGGCCTTTTGATGGTTCCAGTCATGTCTACCACCTGTGCCACACAGTTGGGCCTTGAACATCTGCTTTCTTATCCTACACTTGCCACAGAACACTGAAAAATGATCTTTTAAGAAAAAGAAGGAGAAAAGGAAAAGAAAAAAAGGAAGGAGAGGAAGAAGAGGAAGAAGGCGAAGAAGAGAAAAGACGAAGAAGAGAAGAAGAAAGAGGAGAAGAAGAAGAGGAAGAAGGCAAAGAAGAGAAAAGATGAAGAAGAAGAGAAGAAGAAAGAGGAGAAGAAGAAGTAGAAAAAGATAAATCCTGGACCTTTGAGAATCTTCAGAAAGCGAAAGATCCTCTTCTTAGAAGAATGCACTAGGGCAATTCTTTAGGGGATGAGTGAGTCACCAAAGTTCCTCAGTGGACCAGTCCTAGAAAGGCTTTCTTATCTCTGAAGGGTGAGGGTTTAGGAGGTCATTTGGCATTTCCCTTTCAGGCCAACTCTCTAGGTCTTGCACTCCTGTCTACAGGCCCGCTCCTCTGTGTGACATTAGCTGCTCTTCAAAGCAGTGGGGTAAATGGAGGCAGCCTCACTTCTCCCAGGAGTGCTGACTTTGGAATAGGGTGATAGCCTGTGCTTGAAGCCAGATCTTGTGTAGACTTAACTGAGAAACTCATTTTTTGGCCTTCATGTCCATCTGATACTTGTGTACTGATTCCTCCCTCGTCTGAACCAGGCAGCGTAAGTGGAGGCACATGCCATGGAAGGGGGAGGAGTAGGATAGTGCAAGCAGGGGCATAGCTAGAAATTGCCACATCATGGTTCAGATCTGTCCCTGTGACGTGGCCTTTTGCTAAGGCATGCAGAACCCAATTATAGGAAGGCTCTCTTTCACCTCATTGACAAAGCCAACTAGATAACAGTTCCCAAGCCGTCCATCAGCATTTGTTGAGCGTCTACTGTATGTAGATGTTGGCTACTTCAGCTCTAAATCCCCAGGCACAGTTCTGAGTCCGGCAGGAGTAGGCATGCAATGGGGGGCGGGTGGTGAAGCTGAGCACATGGGGAGTGTGTGGGCAGTTGGGACAGGAGGCACCAGAGTGTGCTTCAAGAGAGAGACACATTCCTGTCCTGGAATGGAAGTGGGGAAGGTGCCAGATCACAACTCTGTAAGGTGGGAGCACATGACACTTAAAGGGAAGAAGATGGAGAGAGGGGGGGTGGGTGCATACCAGCCCCTACACTTGTACTTACTGGTGAAGGCAATGAAGACAGGGTAACTAAAAGTAGAACACAGGATTTCACAGATTGCGTATTCTTTCCTTTAGAATAATCTACCAGAAGATATCAAATAATGGCAGATGGGAACGAATTTTTTTTCATGTTCTATAAGCTTCCTTGTCTTTTTCATTGTTAAAGTATTCTAATTTTTAAATTGTGATAAAATATACAAAATATCAAAGTTACCACTTAACCCATTTTTAAGTGTATAGTTTACAAATGTTAAATGTATTTACATTGCTGTGAAACAGATCCAGAACCCTTTCATCTTCCCAAAGTGAAAGTGTATGAAACACTAACTCCCCAGGATTCTCCTCTGCCTCCAACCCTCAGCAGCCACCATTCTACCTCAGTGTCTATGACTTTGACTACTGAAGTCAAAGTGGAATTATACAGTACTTGTGACTTTTGTGATTGGCTTAATTCACTTAGCATGTCATCAAGTTTTATCCAGGTTGTAGCAAGGGCAAAAAATTATTTATTTATTTAAAGTTCTTTTTTTTATTATTTTTTTTAAGTTCTTTATTTTTTAAAACAAACAATTGTCAAGAGGGTGAGTGCACTTGCTGAAGAGACAGAGAGGGAAAATAATAAAAACACTCCCACCCACATGAGGAATGGTCACACCATAATCTGTTCCCCATTTCTCCCTCCTTTTGGGATTTTGGGCACACACACATACCTGGCATGCTTCTTAAGCCACCAGGTTTGGGACTCAAACTGCACAGTTGACCACGTAGGATCCAGCTGCCTTAACCATCACACCATAGACTAGCCCAGAATTTCTTTACTTTTTAGGGCTGAATAACATTCCATTGTATGGATAGACCACATTTTGCTTATCCATCTGTCAATGAACAATTTTGTTACTTCCATCTTTTGGCTACCATGATTAGTGCTGCTACAAATGTTAAGTGCACCAATGTTTGAGATTCTGTTTTCAATTCTTTGGCTATATATCTGGAGGTAGGATTGATGGTTTATATGGTAAATCTACTTTTAATTTTTTTGGAGAATTTTGCTATAGGGCACATACACTTACTGGCGAGACAGAGAGACAGAAAGTGAGAAATCACCCCACCAGGGGAGATGGCCATGCCACATCCCTTCTCTTCTATTCTCCTCTCGGGATTTTGGGCATATATGCCTGGTGTAAATTTCAAGCCACTGAGTCTGGGACTTGAACCATGATCAACCATGTGAGAGTCCAGAACCTTAACCACTATGTCACCTGCCTCTCAACTTTAAATTTTTTGAGATTTTCTACAGGAGATCAGAATATTATTATTTTTTTTCTTTTTAGAGAGGTTTTTACTATAGGGCGCATGCACTCGCCAGAGAGAGAGACAGAGAGACAGAAAGCGAGAAATCACTCCCCAGGGGGGATGGTCATGCTGCAATCCCTTCTCCTTCATTCTCCTCTTGGGATCTTGGGCACGTACGCACACGTGCCCTGCGTGAGTTTAAGCCACCGGGTCCGGGACTTGAACCACAGTCGACTATGCGGGAGTCCAGCGACATAGCCATTATGCTAACTGCTGGTCCCGAGATCAGAATATTATTATTCAGCACAAAAGAGGGATGCAATGTTTGGAGAAAGACAGATATTCTGATTTTCAAAATATGAGAAAGTATATGTGTACAAACTAGGACCTAATATTATACTTAAAGATTATCAGAAGTCCTTATAAGGAATATGCTTACAAGCAGGATCTCAGTTCTATACCACAAGGTTGAAACTCAGGTTTAGGCCTTTTGGAGAGAATGGAGACCCAGGCTCCCAGACAGGCTGCATCTGTAGTGCTGTGCTCGCTTCAAGTTTCAAGAAAGGCATTGGCCCACTGGAACAACCTTTAGCTTGAGGAAGACTATGGGGCACATGGCAGCAGTCTTGGTGTTTGTGGCAGAAGAATTCAATTATTGTGTTGATCTAGGACTAAGAATTGGGTCCAGTGCTTAGCATTAACAAAAAGACAGGATTTTGATTTAAAAAGAAAGTCGAGGGGTTTGATGGTGGTGCAATGATCTGTGAGTCTGACCCACATGGGAGGGTGGCAGGTTCCTGTCTGGAGACTCTCCTGAGTTCAACAAGCACACCCATGATCCTAGGCTGGCTAAAGCCAGGGATAGATCATGGCATTGAGACACCATTGGGGGTGCTATCTCCCTCTCTCTTCTTGTCTGTCTTGCTCATGGAAGTAAAAGAGAAAAAGGAATAGGCCACCTATTTCTTTTGTAGTTGTAGTGTCTCTTCGCTCTAAACATTTCATCAGAGGCTGTGTGAGCATCTCATGGGATATCATAAAAGGGGCTCACGTGGGAACAGGAGTTTCAAGGTTCCATAATTCAAGCATCTTTGCTAAATCCTCACTTTCATATATCACTTATTCCATGGTCTAAAGGGATATTTGATGTCTATAGTAAACATATCTTTCATTTTAAAAAATTTGAATAATAAAATGAATTTTTAAGCCCTGATGAAAAGTACTGTAATAAGGTTTTTTTCTCCCCTAACTGTTGCTATCCTACCATGGAAGCATTGCAGGATGAGAGCAGTGGGGAAGAGGAAGTACATACATCTTGATTCTTAAACATACTTTACAACAGACAGTCACCTCCAGATCAGTCCCATTTGTTTATAAAATGAACAGGTTCTCTAGTTAATGTCTCCCACTGAAATTTGACCAATGAATTCCCATATTTTTGATTTATCAAACAAAAATTTACATCTTTTCAAATGCTTCAAAATCCATAGAATCCGAATTTGCCCACAGGAAGGAAGACCCTGTGCTATCGTGCAGCCTGTCTGAACAATGGCACACCTGTGGACAGCTATCACTTGCCCTTCTAGGAAGCAAATGAATCAAGGTGCCAAAGGACTACTCAGCTTGAATGAATCTGAGCGGGTGATGTCACAGAAGGGGTCAAGAGGTCACAATTTTCCCATAAGAATATTGGTTCCAGCTTTCTAGAAGCAAGATCCTTGACACCTTTGGCTTTTCCCACTTAAAAAATGGGGATGATGATCATGGAAGTAGTTTTATTTATCTCTTTTAATTTTTTCTGGGTCTCTGAACTCTGAAGACTGTTCTATCAAAGTAGTAAAACTTAGCAGAAAATAATGTATGTCATGATGCTCGTCCACATCAGTGATAGAAATCAACAATTTACCTGCTCCTTTAAAGGAAGAAAAAGAAATGAGGTGCATGGATCACTAAGAAAAATGAGAATAATCCCAAATACGAGTGCATTCTGCCTACTGGTTACAGAAGATAATTAGGCTAAAACAAATCACCTGATTCAAAGTATCCTCTACATGAGTGACAAAGGCCCGGTTATTTGTAACAGCAGAAACAACCCAAAGGATGGGCTGTTTCCACTCTTGGTAACTCACCCTGGTCCTAAAGGGCATTCAGTGAATTTGAGTCTTAGTCTCCTAACAGGGAAGGCACCACTTTGAGTTCTTTGATCTAGTCCAAGTTATCCCTGAGAGTCTTACCAAGGAAGCCTTGGCTTTCTGTCCTGCATGCCATGCTCTGAGGGCCAAGAGGATAAGGGGCCAGCTTACCTCACAAGTGTCAGGAGACAGGCCATGGTGATTGGCTATCTTGGGGTTACCAAGCCCCTAAGTTCCCAAAACATTGCTATGGACTATCCCCAGAAGACCCTTCATGCCCTACAAAGGAGCCATGGAAGGATAGAGGTGACAGATGGCTGGAGATTCAGCAAGTTTTACAGACACTTGGCTCCACTTGCTCCTCCTGCTTCTCCTGCCCTGACCCGTCAGGGACGGTACCTGCAGCCCAGGAGGAGGATAGCTCCAACCCTTAGACTCTCGTAAAAACACATAGCCCCTGGGGGTGGGGCGAGGGTGCTAATCTTTCATAAATGCTTCAGCTAAGGAGATTGGAGGCTGAATACGCTTTTTCACTTATTTTCAATTCCTTTCCAAAATAACTGCATATACTGGAACCCTTTTGCAATTGTAGTAAACAAAATACCTCTTTCCTTTAATGCTTCCAGAGACAATGGGGGAGGGGGAGCTTTTTCAATAAAAAAGGAAAAAAAATGAACTCTATCTTTGTAAACCAAAGAAATCTATTTCCACTGGCACATTTTAGCCTCTTTTAAGAAAATAGATAAGGCTTAGCTTCTGTAGTCTTCAACTTGCATGAATATGGCTATATTTAAATGCAAAAAGATATTTGGTTTATTTAAGGCAGTGAGCAATTCCATGCCCTTTTTTTTTTTTTTTTTTTTTTTTGAGAGGTTTTTGCTTTAGGGCGAATGCGCTCGCAAGACAGACAGAGAGAGACAGAGAGACAGAATGCGAGAAATCACCCTCCGGGGTGGATGGCTATGCCGCAATCCCTTCTCCTCCATTCGACCGACGTGAGTTTTAAGCTACTGGTTCTGGGATGTGAACCACGGTCGACTACGTGGGAGTCCAGCGACATAGCCATTATGCTAACTGCTGTTCCCCATGCCCTATTATTGATATGAAAGCACCAATCCAAAATATTTAGCTCTAAAAATAAGTACCTCTGAGGAATACAATAGGCAAGGTCATTAAAAAGTTCATGGAAAGTACTATTCTAAAAATCCTATGCAGGGATTTTAATTCTTTTTTTTTTTTTTTTTGGCATCAAAATACACTTTAATTCCACTTTCCACAAACTTTATGAAGTCTCTTCCTATTATGAGAACAGACTGTTCTTCACTTTTTACAATTCAAATAATTTAGGACTATTAGCATTCTATTACAGTGATGTAATTTCTTGGTTGCTTTAAAACTTATTTAAGAATTTAATCACAACTAGTTCATTTAACAATGCCATTTTTGTTTCGCTGATGACAGAACCAAAATGAAAGCTCTAAAAATTGCAGTATAATCCATCAGCATATACCAAAAGGTGGCAAGTATCATTCCTTTTCTAGCTAGTTCTATTTTCTTTTGAATGACCCTTTCAAAGTCATTCGGTAAATATTTGCTATATCTGAGAACAGAATCCACTCCTTACAATTTGCACATTAGCTTTGGATAGCTGAAGAGTCTGTATAGATAAAAAGAAAACGTCAAAGCAAAGCAAGCAAACCTGAGCCTTATTTCCAAAGACTCCCAGTGTGCAAGGCATGAAGAAAAACAAGGCAAGGGACCTACCTCTTCAGGAGCGTCAGACTTCCTTCTCCTCCACCCCTTGATCGCCTGCAAGCACTGCGATAGAAATCTTCCTTTCTGGATATCAGCGATGATGCCACCTGTGGAGGGAAAAAATAGGCATTGTTGCCATGTTCTCTAATGTCTCTCCCACTTGCTTATTGAGTGGACTTGTGGGTATTTTTTCTTTATCCCAGAACTGTTATAAATAAGTTCAGATACTGTCAGTTTTCTGAGGCTCCATTCTCCAAATGCATAAAAACCCCCAATATGCTCCTTAGTGTAGATCCTTTTCCATATCAAAATAATAGTAATAATACCTAATCCCAAACCCTAAGCCTACTTGCCAAGCATTAAAAAAAGGAGTGGGGAGAGTTTGAGAAATTGAGTACACTTTCACTTCCAAATCAGCAGTTTAAAACTAATTTCAAACTCTTTCTTTCATAAAGAAGAATCTACATTTTTTTATCTCTAGAAATCTCACACCACCTGAGGGACAATCCAATAATTGATTTTTAAGTGTAGTGACACCAAACTTCAGCCACTGTCCTTTCAAAGTTATGACCAGTGCTAACACTAGGTTTAGGATTCTTATACGTCTTCAAATCAACTCAGTAACAATAAAACACTTCTTTTCTTATAGAGTCTAAATACAAAAATGCACAAATTATTGAATTACACATGTTTTTAACTCAAGAATTTAGACAGTTAAAAACTAATTTCAATTACGCGCAACATCCCTTCTCTGGGTCTTGTTAGCTGTGCCTGTTTGTTCAGGCAAACCTGTGTCCTTTCCAAACATTTAATTCAATTAGATGTAGAGGACCTTGGGAACAAAAGCAGAAAAGACCCTCTGCAGATCAAGTTCCATTCTCATGGATTAAGCAAGTCAAAGGGAAACTTCAGCCTACAGATACTGTCGCCACTGGAGAATATTACACTCTTGTGGACCAAGAAGCTTGAGTTGAAAATTATTTTCCCTCAATTTTCTTTTATTCAACAGTTCAACGAAGACAAACTAATAGCTCTTGGAATACTCAGATTGAATCAAAGATGCGTGGTGATGGTGTGCGAATCTCCTTTCACCCTACTGAAATTGTTAAGCCAGGCTTTCTGTAGTTCTTTTCCTTAACTCTTACAATTCAGAAGAGAAAAGGTAAGAAAAAGATGATCAAGTGATCATTACCTGTATCAGAATGAGTTTTAAAGTAACAACCAGTGGAGCCGGTGGACCGCCCAGTGTCTTCCTGGTCTTACTCACTGTGGCGCTGGCAGTGGGGAGCCCTTCACACCCCCACTTATGTGACAGGCTAGAGCCTTGGTGTTCTGGCTTCACAGCCACCCTCCCTTCTTTGGCAGGGTTCAAACAGCACTCCCAAAGACTTTGCCCGATCCAAACAGCAGACAAAGCTCTCCACGGGAGCGGTTTTGAGCAGCATCCTGCAATTCTAAGGAAACTGCAAGGGGCAGGACATTTTCTTCTAGAACACTGGTTAGATTCTGCTAGAACTGGGGCAAGAAAATCCTTCTATGGCAAAGTCTACTTGTGGGAAAAGAACAACAGGACACAGTGAAATCCCATCAGGCACTTAACAGTGAGCTTCCACCTAGGAGGAGGTCGTTGGCCAGGGTCCCCGCTGCCAGCTCAGATCCCTCAAGGCTCCAGATGTCCATAGCTGCAGGCACACCAGGTCCTCCTACCCAGGAAGGGAGGCAGGCTCAGTCACCAAAACACAGAATGTGTTTGGGATCACTTGGGACTTAGCCTCCTCCCCAGACAGGAAGTACCTTCCAGTGCCTTCTCCTTTTAGCTAAGATGTGTCACCAATTACTCTTAATTACTGTTGTCCACACTGTTGTCACCTGCATTGCACAAGTTCTTCCGATGTACACGTATCCCACCGTCCACACTGGTCAGTTTTCCCTGGGCTTACTCACGGGGGCCCAGGTCATAGGGTTTGGCCAAACATTTCTTTCCCCAAATCCAAGTGGGACACAGCCATGACCTCCCAAAGTGAAGAAAATCCAAAACACAGGGACAGAATGGGGCAAGGGGCATAGGACCCCGGCCCGCCACTTGTACGCTGGGACATTGGGACATTCCTAGGAAACCTGTTGTACGAGTGAAACGGGGACCACGCTGGGGCCAAAGCCAAACCAGTCCACGCTCGCTCCTAGATCTCACAGAGCAGGGGGCAGCACTGGCCACCCGCGCCCACCTCCTGGCGGGTCAAAGCTGTCGGGCCCACCCGGCGCCAGAGGATGTGGATGGGAGGCGGCTAAGGATGCCTGGCAATCCCACGTGCGGGTGGACGCCCGCCTCACCTGACCGCGACCCTGTCACAGGGCCCACCTGGGGGCGGTCACCGGGACTCGGCCTCTGGAGCCCGACAGGGGCGACGCGGGACGAGGCCGCCGACCTCACCTGCGAGGGCCTCTTGGGGGAAGGTCCTCGGCCGGAGGGGCCCGGACGGCGCTGCCCCGCCGCC